CTGTATTACAGCTTTATTATTTTACATTTTTTTAGATTTACATATAACATAACCTTACTTTTTATATTTTTGCCTGTATTATGATTTTATGTGATTCTATTATAATTGTGATATTTATTTTGTGTGTTGTTATAATTTACTAAATAATAATTAACTACTAAATATTATATATATTATTATATATTGGGATATCTGGCAGGGGCGTGGCGTAGCAATTCAACCTATCTACTGTAATTTTGAATTTAGCCACCAGATAGCGTATTCAAGTGCTAGAAATCCCAATATAATAATTATTATTAAGTAATAATTTACTACTAATAATAAATAATTTAGAATTATTAAGTAATGAAGAATCATAACATGAACATCCAATGTTCAAGAATTCGATCAAAAGTATTTCAAATCCCCTTATTTCTTGTTGTCAATGGGAAATGAATTTTCAATGGTTCATTTTAAACAAATTTTATTGATTTTAGTTTCATACAAAAGATGTGAGAGATCGGAGAAATTTTCAATGAAAAAAATCGTCTCATTTTAGGAGGCTTGAGCAACCCTTTATCCACTTCACATAGACCAATATGGTATCTCTCTAGCGTACTCATACGAGTATCATCGCTACTTTTCTCTTACCAACTACTCAGTTTTTTTATATAGACGAAGTAGATCGATGCAAGTGAAGAGTACTCAACTATGACGGAAACTCAACAATATATATACTGTACTACCGTTAGGATAATGTCGGACTCATCGTTGACTTGTATCACCAACTCTACTCGTGTGTTTATCCCCATACTTTGTTTGCTGCCTTCAACTCATACAAACGTACATACATAAATTTGCAATACATGCACACGTGTACAAAGATACATGTAACTTTTCTTTTCCTGTTGTCTGATTGTCAGACTAATTAGAAAAAAAAAAGAAAAAAACAAGATTTATTAATCATTTCTTTCTCGTTCTGTTCTAATTCCATCAAATGTAAGATTTATGTATGAGAAGAAAACAAATAAATATAGAAAATAGAAATGAATGATTTAATACAAATTTTTAGCATCAATTTTAAAAGTAAAATACATTTCTATTTTTAATTTCAATGTTAAAAATGTCGACGACTTCGTCAAATATGCGTTGTCTACATGGTTGAACGGGTAAAAGAACAAGAACAAGAATACAAAAAAAAGAAATAGTAACTGTTCGGAGAAAAATGCAAGAAAGCTTTCACGTCAGAAACAATTTGAAGACAGCTAACGGGCAGATATATATATATATAAAAATAGAAAAAAAGCACAACTCAGTCTCAGTCATAGTCTCACATTTTGTAAGGACGAAGAAGAGGAGAAAGAAAGAGTACTCGTAGGAACGTTCCCTGAAGCTTGTTGAAAATATGCATAATAGTAAAGTAGTAGTAGCATAGTATAGTATAGAATAGTATAGTAAAGTCTATAGAAACTTTTTTTTTCAAGAAAACCTATATATATATATATAGCTTTAAATGCGCTTTTCTACGATTTACCACGAGGAAATTCATCCGTCATGTGTGTCCGTTCTTACAAAAGCCGGTTGTGTTGTGCTGACCATGTTGAAGAACGTAGTAGGTGCATACGCACGTACGAACGAACGTATGAACGTACGAAAGAACGAAGAATACGATTGAATGAAGTAGACGGACATTTAATTGTGAAGAGGCGTAGGAAGAGGTACTTTGAAAGAGAGAAACAGAATATATACGTGAACTAGGTGGCCAAGTGTGTCGTCGTCGTCATCATCCTCATCCTCATCCTCATCGTCGTCATAAGATCTGTGTATATGTGTGTGTGTGTGTGGAGAAATTGTGTTCGTCTCCGATCCCTCTTATTCTCATAACATCGACGATTACCCAGAGCGACGTAATCACTCTTAGACCATATCCCGTTCTTTTCTCTTCTACTTTTAAGGCATTGTTCTCTCTGTGTGTGTTAGTGGATACTCTTATAAGTGATGATGGTAACATTTTATTTCAATCATACTCGAATCAAACTCTAATATATTTTTAATTGTATCGATAATTGTATCTTTCTTTTCTTTTTTATTTTCATTTCCTCATTTTCTTTTTCTTTTAAACAAATTAAAGTAAAATAATTACACACCCCTTATTTTATATTATTTCTATATGTTTTTTTATTTTTTTGTGTGTTTTTTTTCCTATATATACAAAAATTAAATTAATTACACGTTTTATTTTAATTATTTCTACAATTTATTTTTGTTTTTTATTTTGTTTTATTTAATCTTATATAAAAAAAAAGTAAAGTAATTACGCACGTTTTATTTTAATCGTTTCTACAATTTATTTTTGTTTTGTATTTTTTTTGTATTTTTTCTTATAAGAAAAAAGTAAAGTAATTACACACGTCTTATTTTAATTATATCTACGAGTATTTTTTATTTTTTTTTTAATTATTATTATTATTATTATTATTATTATTATTATTATTATTATATTGTAACATATAATTAATATAAAATTTGTTATACCTTGTTATATAATAATTTGCAAATATTTTTAGAATAGTTTTTTTCGATTGAATATTTAATTCTTTGTTTGCTTTTCATTTTTATCAACTCCATTATAAAATATTCTTCTATGAAAAGTTTTATTTCTTTTTTTTCTTGAATATATCTATTTTTATAAAATTAAATATGCAATTAGTATGGTTGATAAATGACTATGAATAGTTATTATCCTGTCGTAAACAACTCGGATGTTACGAATCGATTATACATAACACGTTATGCATTTGAGAGGTAGCTAGCTAGATAGATAGATCATTAGATGAGAGATAAATAGATATATAGGAAGAGAAAGAGAAAGAGATACAAGATTCATTGATTTGATAATACTCACATGTATTTACGAACGTAACAAAGTATGAACGTAGTGTTTACCTTGGCACATATTCATTGCACTAAGACAACTACAACGACTAAAACATTGAGACGTTCAGCATCTTCCACTTGTTCATTGGTTTAAAAGTTCCTATTCATTAATAGATAACATAGTATATAAATAAGTATATATATACAGTATGATATACATAAACTGTTCCCATTCATCCTATCATCCTATTGTAAGTGTTTTTCAAAAAAAGGTGAAACCAAAAATTAAAAAACAAATATTCAAAATTGTATTTTCTCTAAAAAAACAATTATTATTATTATTTTTTTTTGTTTTTTTTTTGTTTTTTTTTTTTAGGATATTATAGTTTTGCAATATTTAAAGTGAATCATCCAATATACATTTATGTTCTTCGAAATGATAATATTCTCGATTTAATGCAACGAGTTAGTTATTACGGTAATTACAATTACGGAGCTAGTACTCGAAGAATATTCTTTTACTTTACGAATAAAAAAAAATGAAAATTGTTATTTCTTTTTCTTTAACTTTACCTTTTCGAGACATTATTTTAAATTACATTCGAAATCGATCCACTTCGCTGTTAACTTTTTACGAGAAGTGGTTTTTAGGTAGTTTCAATTCTTTCTTTTACGAATCTACACATGATTTAAAGTAACGCAGACGTTCGTTAATGAATTATAATATAATTTTAATTAGCAGACATTTTTGTTACCTCTTTTTTTCTTTTTTATGTCTGAGAAAAGAAACGTGGATTTTTATACAAATTATAATTATGTAGAATATATATATATATATATATATATATATATAT